CATGCTCTTGGATAAAGATCAAATTGCAGGAATCAGTTCTTGTCCTTCTACAGGTGGGGCCTGGAGATTAAATGTGGGTCATCTGAGTTTGCAGAGCAAGAACCTTTATCTACTGAGCCATCTTGGCAGCCCAGTTTGCTTTTTGTTATGACTGGGCCATGAAGTTTAATTTAAAAATTAAATTAAACTCTCTTTTGTTAGTAATCTCTTTGGGGTGGGGGAGACTGTTGCTTTGAAAAGTGACAGCCCTTTAGGATTCAAAAATGCTCAGACTTTTGCAGGTTGCAGGACTGGGTGCAGGGGTGGGGTAGGAAGAGTCAGGTGCAGGGCAATATATTAGAACGATAAGTGGGCTTGCACGTCAAGTATGTGCAGGTAGAGACAGTGCCTGCTGCTCCAGGAGGTACAGCATATCCGCAGCCCGCAGACATCCTTCTTGGAGGCTGCATCTCAGACAACTCTGGGGACCCTGCCCTGATCTGGAAGCAGAGCTCTGAACGAGGGCATGACTAATCACATCTCAGGGATGTGTGTCTTCCCGTGGACGGTAAGCTCTTTGAACAATATGAAAGCATGCGCTTTGCTTTCCTGCAATACTTCATCCGCTCTGTACTCGCTCGTGGAGACCTCTCCATAAATACAGGCTGAAGGAAGGAGGGCAGAGTGCCCGTTTCGGGAGCATTCCTTCCGACACGGCTCCCTGAAAGACGTTTGTATATTTTCTGTCGGAGCGCTTTCCATTCCACGGAAGATTACATTTCTGCATCATATAAGGAAAGCCAGACTATATATGGAGTCACCAGGTGACGGGTCCAGGCCTACAGTCTTTCTGAGTCTCCTCTTTCCTCAATTCCGGCTTTAAATAAGCAGATTTCAGATGGCAGTATTCACTGAGGAGGATTCGGGTCACCCACAACTGCTACTGTGTGTCAGCTCAGGCGGAGATGACAGACAGAGAGCCACAGAACCCACAGCTGCCTCAAATCATCCTCTCTGTACAACTTGGCAATGATATTGATACTGAGGAGCACTGTGTGTGTGTGTCTGCATGGGTGTGCCTGTGTGTGTGTGTACGCATACATGTACGTGTGTACGCATACATGGGTATGTATATATGAGTATGTTTGTGTGCATGAGTGCTATGTGTATGTCTGTATGTGCATGCACAGGCGTGTATATGAGTATGTGTGTATGTGTGTGTATTTGTGTATGTATGTGCCTGTGTGCACTCTTCAGAAATTCATTGTTTTAAAGAATCAGAAATCAACCCGAGTGTTTAATTATTTTGAGCACCTCTTTTCCTGCTCAGTATTCTAATAATAAATAATAGGTTAGCATTAGCAGCAATGAGTGTTCATTGATTACTTGTTACTATGTGGATAAACATTCATACAACAAATCTGTGGAGAATATACTGTTACTCTCATTTCATGCATGAAGAAGCAAGACAAAGAGGTTAAGTAATTTGCTATGAGACAGAAAAAAGAAACAACCCTACTATTATTGTTTGGATATGAGATGTCTCCCCCCCCCCCCGGGCTTGTATCTGAACATGTGTCCCTGTGATGCTGGCAATATTTGTGGAGGGCTGTAGAAATTTTAGGAGGCGGGGCCTGACTGGCAGAAGTCAGCCACAAGGTTCGGGCCTGTGAAGGTTTCATATTGGTCCGGTTTGCCTGCTCTCTCTGTTTCCTGGCCCCCAAGATACTTTGGTGTCACAGATCCTACCTTCCCTGCCAGGCTAGAGTCCTTAGGACTCCAGGAGACAAAAATAAATCTCTGCTCTCATATTTTTTATCTGTCAAGTATTTCACCACAAGGACACAAATCTTAGTCCCTAAAACCAAAATGTAAAAATATTGTGGGGCCTTATGCAGCAAAGGCGCAATTGCTGGGGGACTCCCTGGTTTATTCTGGGGACCCTATGTAATCAGAAAGGTCTTTTGTGAGAGGGAGGTGATGGGTTAGAGAGGATAATTCCAGATATTTCTGTCATTTGTTTTTATGTCTTTGTTAGGGTTTTTGTTCACACACACACACACACACACACACACACACACACACACACGGACCAAAAGCAACTTAGGGAGGAAAGGGTTGATTTCACTTATTCTCCTACATTACAATCTCATCATCAAAGAAGGTAGGGCAAGAACCCAAATCAGGAACCTGGAGACAAAAACTGAGTCACAGAAGAACACTGCTTTCTGGTTTGTTCTTTCTCTGTGCCTTGATTGTTCTGTATTCTTATACATCCTAGAGTGGGTGGTTCTGCGAAACATAAGAATACAGACTGAGCAAGTCACAGTGGCCTGGTCTCTCCCACATCAACCACTAATTAAGAAAATATCCCACAGGCTTGCTTCAGTCAGTCTTATTGAGGCATTTTTGCACCTGTGGTTTTCTCTGCTCAGACAACTCTACCTTGTATCAAGTGAGAAAAAAAAAAAAACTAGGGTGTTTCATGTATCATAAGACAGTGCTTTGTGCTGATGGTTACACATGTCAAATAGTTACATAAATAACTTTGTAAATATAATTATTAAAGGGGGATGGTTGTCAATGAGCATAAAGTTAACATGAAAATGTCAGGGAGCACAGTGACTGCTTTCCATCCCTTCCTTCCTAAAGACATTGCTTACATACATGTGGAATGTGTGATGTGGTTGTTATCAATATATTCATTTCCATACTTTTGTAATTTTTTCTTCAGGGGCCCCTTTGTTGAAGGGACTCTACCTTCTGCTTCAGAGTATTAAATTATTTCTTGTCATAGCAGTTTCTCAACAATCCTTAGATTTTTGTTTATGGCAGTGAACACGGACATATTGGGAGAATACCTAGACTTCTTGAAATTAGATGCCGCAAGTGTAATCTAGTGTATGAGGAGAAGATATGGGTTGGAAACTATAGAGAGAGGCGAGGTTGCATACGAGGACCTGCCTGAGACTCGGATTTCTAGGTCTGACACCTGAGTAAGCGCCTTCGCAGCATCTTAGTCAGTTGGCCTTCTCTTCTCCCCCAGAATGTCTGTTACAGCCTGTAACGGTTTTGTGGATGTATTTGCTCATCTTCTCTGTGTGTAAGATCCATGTTGGCATACTTATCTTGAATATTTTCTACCTGGAATATTTAGTGCACAGTACCTCTGACATGGTAGACAGAGTGTGTTTATACTAAGTAGTACTTCACTGACATGCACAACCTTGTACCTGTGAAGTCGGAAGTAGGTAAAAGTCAGAGAAAATAGCAAGTGGCTTCAGTTTGAGGGATAAAACATTACACCATTGCTTTAGGCATCAATTGTCCAAGTTTTTTTTTTTTTTCACTACCTTATTTTGCTGACGGAAATATTCCAGGCCCCAAAGCTTGAGGTGCCATGGAAGATGGATACAACCATTATAATGTAATAATAACAATAGTGAAAAAGAGAAGAGAAAAAAATAGTAGGCTAAAGTAACATGGTCTGTTTTTATGGGGGAAAAATCTCTTGGTAGCTAATTCCAAAAATAGTCTTTATCTATAATAAAATCATTACTCTGATAGTTGCCTCTAAGCAATACATTAACTCAAAGATAACTCAGAGATAACTGCATTGCTCCAAATGTGTCAGCATTTAAAGTCTATCTGGCTGAAATTTCTCTTAATTTATTTCTATCTAATAATGGTAAAAAAAAAAACATCATTTGTGTTTGACAAAGAGTTATGTTTTAACCATACACATTCATTCGGTTATATAACAAGGAATGATTGTTCAGCTAACATTATTCTTTCTAAGGAATGTGATGTTTATTCATGTGTACTTGGCGAATAAATTCTTTATAAGCATATTAACAAGATGTAAAAAACAATCAGACCCCTGGGTCTTCAGAAGAGAACTTCATAGAACAGTGGAAACATTTAGGGTTGGTGGGGGTAACTAACAGTTTCCAGGGTGTAGTGGGTAGTCTGAATCAATACATATTTGGCCATAGAAGTAACTATAATAATTTCATCAGATGAAACATGATGAGTAAGCTATAATGTCATGCTGTTGACTGAAAGACGTCAGCTTAACCGTTAAAAAACAGTTTCTTATTTTATTGGGTTTCTCTAACCCCTTCATTTTCTATATAAAGTACTCTCAGGGTAATTGCTTTAAAAAAATCTTTGATTTGTAAAACAGAAAATACAGTGAGGATTTCTGAGTATTATTCGCAAACTGATTTTGACAGATGTACTGTTATGTTACCAGTACCACATGACATCTTTTTGAAGATGAACAGAATAAGCTTGACAATGAGTAGGTAAGACGCTGTCAGATAGCTGAAGGAACAGGCTGGTGTCAAAGTATGGCATAAACACCGTAGAATAAACCTCACAATACCATTAGGATAATGGCTTTCCAATGATGCCCTTGAGAAAAGAGAAAAGAGTCTTGTACTTCAATGCTATCACTTAGTCATGAAAATAATATTATAAAACAGAGCACAAGGCCAATTTAATGTGTGCTTGAAGTGGTATTTTATAACTCTAGACTACACACAGAGGCATACATGTGTGTGTCTGAAAGACATATGCTGTCTTTGATAGGTATGACATATACCTGGTCATTTTGAGATAATTTTGAGATAACCAAACCAATGTTTTAACAGTCCTAGACCAATATTAAACTATTGATTGTTAAATATGTATTATAAAATGATTATATATATCTAGATAAATAAATTGCAATTTGATTTTCTTTGTTGTAGAATAAGGCTAGCCTTTAGTAACATAGGAAAATTTGTGGCATGCACTTAAAGTATATTTCTAAATCATGAATTTTGTGAGTAGTTAAAATGATCTAGATGGAACTGAATCAGTTTTGGTTTTTGATAGGATTAGGTATGTTTTGCTATGATATTACACACACACACACACACACACACACACACACACACACACCGTAGTAGTTAACATGCTTCAGTGCAAACCATATTTATCCATAGAATGATGACTTTCACTATCTTTGTCTCCAGGGTCAGTGGTGATCGATCTGGATGGAAAAAGCTCTCTTCTCTACAGATTTGATCAAAACTCCTTGAGTCCAATAAGAGATATCATTTCTTTGAAATTTAAAACCATGGAGAGTGATGGGATCCTTCTGCACAGGGCAGGGCCTGCTGGAGATCATATCACATTGGAGTTAAGAAGAGGAAAACTCTTCTTACTTATTAATTCAGGTAAAGCTACTTGGTGATGCTCTTGGAAGGTCTGATTCTTTGATTGTCACATATGTAACTTGATGTTTTCATAGCTCACTTCTTTTAACATTCAAAGAATTTTATTTTCCCATTGAAGGACTTTTGTGTATACCCAGTGCCTACTGTGGAATAGAATAATTGTTTAACTATGTAAAGATGTGTTGCATTTGTTTAGCTGCATTTGTTTAATTATGTAAAGGTGTGTTGCTTTTTTACCTTGTCTGCCTAAGGCACTTGATTGGTCTAATAAAAAGCTGGATGGCCAGTAGGTAGGCAGAGGAAGAATATGCAGTGCTGGCAGGCAGAGAGAAAAGGGGAGCCAGCCATCCAGTCAGTGACCAGCTAGCCAGAAGCCCACTAACCAGACATGGAAGAAGCAGGAAAATAGAAACAATTCATAATTCATAATAAGTCTCCATGTTATGATTTTGGGGCTGGTGGTCCAAGAAAGCCTACTATATTTGATACCCAAAGAATGGCATCAAATTTTGTTTTAATTTTGGCTTAGTACCTGCACCATTATTAATCTATTGCTATGTCAGCCAGCAAATGCAACTCTGCTGTTACCAACCTATTTCTCTCGCAGCAGCCTGGCTGCTCAGGTTGCACCTGGGGAGAATTGTTCTCCCACAGCCACCAACCCTGTTGCTCCCTCTAAAGGTAGCTTTAACCAAATCACTTTCAGTCTAATTATGAATAAGACTCGAGACTCAAAGGCTGGGGTGAAAACCTGAGAGCTCAGAGAGGCTGAGTAGCAACTACCTAACTCTTTCTCCTTCCTGGTATCCATGGAAGACCTGTGCTTCTGCTTTGCCACCCCAGAAAAAACCTATGCCACTCCAAACCCCACCCTACTACTTCCTGTTTCTGTCTCTCCTAGGTGCCCTCTGATGTTCTATGATTACTTTCTGTCAACTAGTTGCCAACTCAGCCTCCTGACCCAAGATTAATTTTATTTAATTAAAGCCAATGCAAACGCAAGGTTCATAGTGGGATCAAATATCCTCCAACAAATGCCCAAATGATTCATGTTTGCAAGCTACACAAACCCTTCTTTGGATGCTCTGCCTATAACTCTGACATAGCTCCACAGTTATTCCCTAGCATCACAAAGAATGGGATGGGTCATTGAAAAATATTACAGCAGTAAAAATAATGAGCTTGTAGCAAAGATAAAATTTACATAGAAAATGAGCTTGCAATGGGTAATAATAATAGAAAGAATTAACAGTGGAAGAAATTACAGCAAGGTTGAGAGATCATTACAATCAAGCTTCAGATAAATCCACACTCGTGTTCAGGATGGTATGCATGGAAGAAGGTTGCAAATTGCTGTGAGAGATGCTGCTCCATCAAGAAGAAGCTCCTCATCCTTTTCACTGAATCACGCTGTTGTCATTTCTCCTCCCAGGTGAAGCTAGACTGATCTCTAGTTCCACAATGATCAACCTCACCTTGGGCAGCCTTCTGGACGACCAGCACTGGCATTCTGTGCTCATCCAGAGACTGGGCAAACAGGTCAACTTTACAGTGGACGAGCACAGGCGTCACTTCCATGCCCAGGGAGAATTCAATTACCTGGATCTTGATTATGAGGTGTGGTGGTTACATTTCAATTAATTCAGATTTGATGGTGCATAGGTGGTTTAACTTCCTAATAGAAAATATGCTATTAAAAAAAAGACACCTCCAGAGCAAATCTCCAGGCTGACAAAGCATTCCTAAGGTGGCCTAGCTTATTAGCATATGGAACGTGGGGCTCATCATTTATTATATATTTATATGTATCATTATAAAACATGATCATCATCTGCTTGACATGTACAGTCACCGGACTTCATAGGCAGCTTTTATTTCTCATGATGAGATCTCATTGCCACATGCACATCTAGAATGCATGGTCTGATTTCTTTTTGGGTTCTAACCCTGAGGAATAGAGATTTATGAGGGACGATAGCAGCAAACAGATTAATCCATTAACAACTGATTTAAATATGCAAATCGCAATTTGGGCTAGAAACATATACAAAATAAAATATCATAATTAGCTACATTGTTAAATAGACCAAGTTCTACTGTGAATCAAAAAGTGTATTTTTCTTCATTAAGCAATAAATATCAAAACCAGGTGTGATTAGCGGCTTGGAAAGATAATCAAGCCGTCACACAAATGAAGACTGAACGCACATAAATTTGTTTTTAAAAGTCGGTATCTTAGTTTTTTTTTTCTATGTGGGGTGTTGTAAAGTTATCTCCGTGATGATTACTGCTATAATTTCTCATCATAATTATTTAAACAGGTTATCATAAAAATCACTAAACAATATTATTGATGCCATTTTTCTTTCTAAGATCAGCTTTGGAGGGATCTCAGCACCTGCAAAATCAGTGTCGTTGCCATACAAACACTTTCATGGATGCCTGGAGAACCTCTATTATAATGGAGTGGACATCATCGGCTTGGCCAAGCAACACAGCCCTCAGCTCATCACCACGGTAAGAGTCTTCATATGAAGCAATGAGTAAGATGCACCTTTTCCAAATAAAATTGCTCCCTGTGACGGTCTTGCTTATGTTTTAGACATGGCTCTTATTTAAAAAATTATCTCCAGTTGACAGTATGCATATAGGAGATTAGTTCTATTTAGGGGAATTATAATTCATAAAACAACTATGTTTCATATATTTATTTGTATGAAAAGTAAACACATGATAGATTTTTCTTGTGTAGACACAACACACACACACACACACACACAGAAAGAGAGAGACGCTTGCACATGCATACATGCATTCCCCTCCTAGAAAGGGAACCCATAGAAGACCAAAGTAATGATTGTACCAAAGTCCAGCTTGATGAATCAATGAGTTTCTATTGGAGTAATTAATACAGGTATGGGTACCAGGTTGCTTACAGGAGCACAGATGACCCAAAAGCCATTGCATCGTGGAAGGGGCCACCCAAGCACAAACTGCTGCTCCAGAGCTATCTCTTCCCATAAAACTGAGGAGAGACCTTCCAGAATTTTCTAAGCTTCAGCTTTCTAAGCTGTGATGTTTGTTTGCCTCTTGAATCTCATGAGCCTGCCTTTCCATCTGGATGGAATGCTTTAATTTGGAAATAACTGTTGTACAATAGTAAATATAAAAAAAATAGTATGGGAAATATTTTTAAATTTTATTGTGATATGGTTTTTAATTTTGTCATGGATTTTTCAGTTTTGTTGAGGTATTATTGTTCCAGTAGATTAATTATTTTTATTTGTTTAAGAAGTTGTTCCCTGACCAGCAGATTGGATGCGCACAGTCTCTGGAATCGGGTAGCCTTCTGGTGTGTTAACAAGAAACTGGAAACACTGGTGTTTGTCATGGTCATTTCATAACAAAGAACTTATAGGTTGTTACAACCTTGTGGCTGCGAGGCTGTCTAAATAGTGTTGTTGTTTTGGATCCTTTATACACCAAGTCCATGGAATTATGGCAACATTGAGCTCTATCTGTTGGTCATGGTTCAGTCAGGGAAGCAATAGTGGAGTGTATTCCAAACAGGGCATCTTCTCTGGATGTGGAACTTAGCAGAGGAACTAGGAATTGAAGGCCTGGCACAGGAAGATTGAAGATCAAATTAGTTACTGTCTGAAGCTGAACTGTGAATGGACCAACTGGATTGGCAGAGGATTTGTGGCTTATGTAGGCAGCTTTCTGAGCCTTCTCCATGAGATGTTGCCTCTGGGTGGCTTCTGTTCCTATAAATCCATGATGCACATCAGCTTGGCTTGTTGCTGCCCAGCAGGACCAGATGTCTTGATGAATAGACGGTATAGAGTGGGGGAGAGCAGGGCAGTGGGACAAACCAGCATCCCTTGGTGCTCATCACTATGACCATAGGTGTGGTGGGTGAGCACACGAATGCTTTTGGTGTATGTGTGAATGTGTGCAAGTGGGGGCTGAAGGCTGCCGTTCAGAATCACCCTCAATCACTCTTCCACCTTATTCATTGCTGCTGTATCTGTCAGTCAAACTCAGAGCTTCCCTGTCTGATGTCTGCCAGCTTGCTCTAGGGATCTCCCTATCTCTGCTTGCTGAGGCTGGAATTACGGGTGGCCTCCCTGCCCACTCTGCATTGGGGTGGGGTGGGTTTCCAGGGATCCTAACTCCAGTAATCAAGTTTGCACATCAAGTTCCTTGACCATTGGATTTTTTCCCAGTCTTAGTCATGGCTTTTTGGTATGGGTTTTGGAAGATGGAACTACAGTCTTCTTGTTAGCAAGAAATCAGTGGCTATCCCCACAGGTTTGTGTTCATCCTTTACTGTACATGCTTCCCCAAACCTTTGGGGCGACATGGCTGGTGCTCTACTTCTCTGACAGTCAGTCATCATTTGAGGTTTACAAGAAACTCTTGCTTAGAATCAGTCAGTGATTGAAATTCTGGGGAGCACAGTTTCCAGCTTTACTACTTTGATAATAAAACGCCGATGTAAATAGATTTTCATTAGTTTCTTTCATTGCTTAAAATTCAAAATATGTAAATTGAATCTCATGTTGTGCAGAAAATCCCAAAGAGCATCACAGGAATATTTATTATGGAAAAGATTTGATTCCTAATTCTCTGTGAATCTGTGTTCTTGGTATGTTCCTAACATCCAGTAAGGTTATATTTTCATTACCTTTTACTAAATGGAGATAATTTAAAATGAAATATAGACAAGTGTGTGTGTTTCATTCAAAATAATATTTCTACATAATGCTTGTGCGAAGATCCCCTCTGTCCATGGACAAGAGGATGTGCTGCATATAGGGCAGGAGGAGGTAGCCACCAAAATAAAGCATAGGATCAAACTGCAGTGAATAGCTGGTCCCATGTCCACAGGGTTTAATGGTCTCAAAATTTGCTTCATTTTATAAGTTAGTGGATACATTATCAGTTAGCATTTTTGTGCTCTTAAGCTTTTAACATTTCACCAAACATACAACGTAACTGTTGTATAAAGCAAAAGTTCAATTTCTAACAGAATCATTTTTATTTGTTTGTTTGACCAAGATTTCCTCCCCATGTTTATTCTTGTTGATAAAGTTGATTTCATTGACTTTGCCAGTCTATGCTAAGGTTGAAGACTGTGGAGAAAACCTGGGGGCACACTTCAAGAGCTTTTAAGATAAATGGTAAAGATTTGGATCTTCATGGTGCGGCAAAATGTTTTCTGGCTAGAGTAATATAAGACTGATAATCAGATTTCACAAGTATTTAAATTGCATCCCACATGGGCCGAAATGAGCTGAATGCCTGCTCCTGTCCTCTGCCTCAGGGAAACACATCGTTTTCTTGCTCACAACCACAGTCTATGCCTCTGACTTTCCTGAGCACGCGGAGTTACTTGGCTCTCCCAGCATCTTCCAAAGAGGAAGCCGTCTCAGCCAGTTTTCAATTCCGAACCTGGAATAAGGTGGGACTTCTGCTCTTCAGCGAACTCCAACTGGTTTCGGGCGGTCTTCTCCTCTTGCTCAGCGACGGGAAACTTAAACTGAATCTCTACCAGCCAGGAAAGACACCCAGTGACATCACAGCAGGTATTAAATGTATTCCTGCAGGCAGAGCATATGGGTTTGAAAGATTTCCTTATCTCTGTGCCTCCTCTCCATAAATTTCATGCATAATCAAAAATTAATATTTGTTTAATAAATGGATACTTGAGTTAATAAGATTATCAGTGCCCTTCCTTAGAGAAACTTGGTTCCAATTTTTCTTCTACATATGATTCCAGTGTTCAAAATTCTTATTAATAGGGTTAGTAATGATGAGGGAACAGAAATTTCTATCCAGGACCCTTCCACCAATTCAGACAAGTCATCATCATCCCAGGAGAAAATGGGTTTGGGGGTAAAAGTGAATAAGTGAATGGCCCTGAAACCGGCCAGTAAATGAACTGAATGTTTCAGTGGAAAAAAATCAGACTGCTAAATAGCTATTGTCCAACTTTGTGTAGAACATAGAGGTAGCTATCTATGTCATTATCCTAAAATTCAACTGTACCTGTAATGGTTACCTTACGTTTAAAACTGGATACATTTTTAAACAGGCAAAGATTTGTGAAAATTTTGTCATTTGCGTAACCAATTGAAGTTCTCTGTATTTGTGTACTATATAGCATCCTTTTTTTAATCAATTAGAGGTAATATAATTAAGGCGACTTTATATGTGTCTTGAAACTTAATGTTCAATCTAAGTCAGAGCTGTGAGTGAGGGATATATTTGTCTCTTCATTAAAATGCTATAGCTCTCAACAAGGAATCTCCAGCAGAGCTTTTCACGGACAGTATAGCATCTACTCCTGGCAGCTAGAGGTCACATTGGGGTAAACTGCTGCATTAATTTAATAAATGACCTTTAAAAACAATTTATAGATGGTACTGTACTATTCCTATATATTAACCATGACCAACATTTATAGAATATGATTAGGAGAGGAAAAAAATGAGAAAAGTTAAAATGGAGTCTGAAACTAATAAGAAAAGCATGTATACAAATCGGTGCTAGCATGGTGCTTAGTTAGGCTTTCTGAGGCTGTGAGAAAACACCATGACCACAAGGAACCAGGAGGGGAGAAGGTTTGCTTCACTTACTCTCCCACATCACAGCCCATCATCGGAGGAGTTAGGACAGGAATCTGGAGACAGGAACTGATGCAGAGCCATGGAGAAATGCTGCTTCTGGCTTTCTCCTCATGCCTTCCTCAGTCTGCTTTCAGAGAGCACCCAGGACCACTAGCCAAGGCGCAGCACCACCTCCAGTGAGCTGGGCCCTCCCACATCAATCATCAATCAAGAAAACGGACCACAGGCTTGTCCACAGGTCAATCTGATAGGGGCGGTTTTTCAATTGAGGTTCTCTTTTCCAAAAGCTGCAGCTTGTGTCAAGTTGACATAAAACCAGCCAGCACAGGGATCCTTTGTTTGTATATTTTTATTGCCATTCATGTTCCTGCATCACTACAGTTTAAGTTACAGTGTTAGAAAGTCAGCATAAATTAAAATTTTTGAGAAGTACTATGCTGTTACTTTTATGTAATGTTCAATGTGGTGGATTTGTAGTCTGGACCAAAGGAAATAAATTAATCAGTGTCATATGAATAATTAAGAGACTCCTAAAATGAGAGTCTAAAAATGTAAGCTTGTCACCAGTGTGTAGAGTATTGTGATGCATTTAGCATCCTCTGAAGTGGTTACAGCCAAGCCTAGTTTTCAACATCTTAAAGAAACTGCTTCGGTACAACATTACTGTAGTGAGCTGTGTGAAGCTAGCTCACTTCCAACCTCTTTTCAGGAATGTGTGGTTAATAAATTACTAGGTATAGCTCTGCATAGAATACCCTAAGTGATTTTAAAATCTCTAAATGAATGTTTGAACACGGACAAGGCAAAATCCATTATGATATCATGTGACTTTATATGATTATTTTCATAGCTTAGAATAAGGAATCTAACTAGGAGTGTCAGGGTGGTAAAATAAATGACACTGAAAATAGCAACCGTTGGCCACCAACTCTCCCCACTCTTTTTTTTCAGTTTCCTTCAAAATTATATATCTAATAACTATGGAAGTCTAAGCCATCCTTATGTAATGAAAAGATTTGCTACAACATAATACCAATCCAACAGTTACACATGACTGTATTTCAAGCCATTGCCCTACAGCTATTGATTTGGATGTCAAACCTTAGTAAGTGCACCCCAAGTAGGTTATGGGATATATGTTAATTTTTGTGAATTTCAGTGGAGCAAATATTTTTTTCAAGCTTACAAATGAATTACTTAGATGGTAGTTGGTGCCTGGTTAGCTTCTTTTCCCGTAGGAAATGACCTTTCACTAGGGGTCATTTGGGGTACTATACTACACTAAATCTTTTCATTAAATAGGGATGACTTAAACATCCATAGTTATTAGACATATAAATTAACAATCCTAAGGGTTTGAGAAATTAAAATTATTTTCACTTTTCCTAGTGATAGAAACTAAATCATATGGAGGAAGAACTGAATTATGCAAATATCTGAATTATTGGGATAAATTTGTAATGGAGTGTACCGTTGGGCAAATTGTCACTTGGAATTATTTGAAAATACTACGTGAACCTAAGCCATCCTTGAAATATTAACGGTAGTATATTAGCCTAAATCATGAGACGTTCTAGCAGGGCTCTGAAATCCCTCATGACACAAGGTATTTTCAGCCCTTGTCACTGTTAGAGATGTCAAATCAAAACCCATCCAGATGCCTTCAAGGACCTAACATAACAATGCAGTCACATTTTCTTTTTGGAAATGAAATTCTTTGCTGTCAAGTTTGGAGTTCCTTCAATAATCTTAGCATTTTTGCCTAATTGGAAAAATCAGCCCTGTGGACAAGCTTTTTGGCCCCAGAGCAGAAGTTGCCTGTGGTAATAGCTTGTGCTGTCTGAAGTGTGTGTTTTGGTAGACATTTGCAATCCTGGTGTCCCTGGTAATGGTACAGCCCTCTTGGTGTGTCTCCCCCAGTAAAAACCATTCTTTTTATTATTATTATTTTTTAATTAATTTATTTATTTATTAAAGATTTCTGTCTCTTCCCCACCACCGCCTCCCCTTTCCCCCCTCCCCAAATCAAGCCCCCCTCCCTCGTCAGCCCAAAAAGCAATCAGGGTTCTCTGCCCTGTGGGAAGTCCAAGGACCACCCACCTCCATCCAGGTCTAGTAAGGTGAGCATCCACGAAACTGCCTAGGCTCCCACGAAACCAATAGGTCCAGTAGGATCAAAAACCCGTTGCCATTGTTCTTGAAGTCTCAGTTGCTGGAGAGGTTGTGGAGACAGGGGTACACTCATCCATTGCTGGTGGGAATGCAAACTTGTGCAACCACTCTGGAAAGCAGTGTGGAGGTTCCTCAGGAAATTCGGGATCAACCTACCCCTGGACCCAGCAACACCACTCTTGGGAATATACCCAAGAGAGGCCTTATCACGCAACAAAAGTATATGCTCTACTATGTTCAGAGCAGCATTGTTTGTAATAGCCAGAACCTGGAAACAACCTAGATGCCCTTCAATTGAAGAATGGATGAAGAAAGTATGGAATATATACATATACTACTCAGCAGTAAAAAACAAGGACTTCTTGAAGTTTGCAGGCAAATGGATGGAAATAGAAACCATTCTTTAGTCCCACCTCATCCTCTTTCCTTCTTAATCTCTTCCCCTCGTCACCCTGTACACCTGTCACCTTCAAACTCCTGCCCTCCACTGAAGTGATAGTTACCAATGACCTCTATATTTTCCCCCTGACAGGAGCTATCTAGTGATCTGGGTCCTTAATTCTGGCTAGTGACGCTAGTTAGTAAACCTAGGAGTCCTGTGATTTCAGAGCGCTGAGATAGATTTGGAGATGGGCGCCGCTCGTCAGGGGCTCCTTGAGTGATGGCATACATGTAATTGCCTCCTGCCCCTTTGCAGAGGATCTTCCCTAAGTGGCAGGCTTAGTGCTTTTCTTTATCTATCTCCCCTTCTAGATGCCTGCTACAGTCTAAGCAGAGGCTGAGAGCAGCTGAGCTGTTGGACTGTTTCTATAGCAATTTACGACAGGCCTGCAGATTACACAGGAGAAAGCAGATAAAAGCCTTCTCACTTCCTGCTATGATCTGTGTAATAGTTATATGGTTTGACCCAGGGACAGGGGTTGAGGAAGAGAAGGCTCTAGAACAATTCTTCCATTCTTTCCACCACCTGCAAATGCAAATACTTCCACCTTGGACATATTTGGTATTTGAGCACCTTGAGACTGTTGCTCATTGCAAGAAGACTCACATGAGCAACTGAATGCAGACGTATTGAGAATAACATACAAGTTGGGGTTATGTTCATTGACTGGTGTGTCTAGAAAGCGAACATTTGCTGTAGATGAAATGCTCTTGGGAAGTGGGGATAAGTCTATGATCTGGTATTTTTGTAACCGTTATCTAGAAGGATGAAAGGAAGAAATGATGATGAAATAACGGACACGAGAGAAATTAATCATCGCAGTGGCCATTTTAGTGTGTGTTGCTGGCATCACCACTCCTGGCAGAAACCATGTAAGAGAGGAAGGACTGGCTTAGCTCATGGCCTTGGGGAGTTTCAGCCCATCATCCCAGGAAAGGCATGTTGAAGCAGCAGGCTTCATTATCACAGAATGTGTGATACAGGAGCCTGTTAACAACACATCTGGTCAGGAAGCAGAGAGGCCAGACCTAGGGGTTGTTCTACAGCTAGCCTTCAGAAGAAGATCCTGGTGACCTGCCTCCATTAGCTAGGCTCTACCTCTTGAAGGTTTCACAGCCTCAAAGTCGCATCACCCGGAGACTAATCTTTCAAATAATTAACCTGCAATGGGCCATTAAACATTTAAACAGTGACAGTAGTTATTCACATTATTTAGAGGAGGGAGAAATTTAGTATGCCTCTTGTTTATACATTAATCTTATTTCTTTTGGGGGTTGTATACAACCAAGAATTTGAAATAGTAGTATTTTTGTTTGTTTGTTCCTTTGCTGTTCTGAGAAAA